AGAATTTTTTAAAAAAAGTTGCATGTGGGTTCTTAGTGTTGTTGTCCTGTCAGGTTACTTCCTTTGAAGTGTGTGTGTGTGTGTGTGCTTCCAGGGAGGGGGAGGCATGTTTATATGAGTCAAAATGACTGTATAGATTCATGTCAGTTCACTTTGTGTGTGTGTGAGAGATCTGTGAATCTGTGTGAAGGTGAGCCAGGGGTTCTCCTGACTAGAGGGCTCTCTGACTGATGTGTGAAGGCCTATGTGTGTATCTGTGTGCATGCAGTGCCTCCACGCTCTTCTGTCCTGCGTGGGGCTTTCCATTGACTAATTAGGTCTCCACTCCAATTTGCTTCAAATGTATACTCTCTTGTCCTGTGATGAAATATTGAATTTATGAAAGCATCACCGACAGCATTTTCAAGTTAACATGTTAAATAAAATATGATTGACAGTGTTATGGTAGCCCCCCTCACCAGGAGGGTGAGGGAGGACTGAGGTTGTACTCAAGTTTGCAGACCCAGGTGCTAGGGGGAAAAACATGACGGTAGCAGGTAAATAAAAAGAACACAAAGTATCAAAAGAACATAACATGGGAAGGTACGGTACTTGGATATGCATAATATGTAGTGTAGTGTAAATGAGCATAGCGCGTAGGTAGTGTGGTAGAGTCAACCCAAAACGCACAGTGTCTGTCAGCGTAGCATTCTACCAACATGTACAGTCCACGTTACTATGTTAATGTTCCGGCAAAACTTGAGCGTCTGTCAGCGTTATAAATAAGGAGGAGAAGGCAATCATTGGGATGCACCCCAGCTGTGTGCATCGACCAACCAGTTGCTAATTACTGGAATGCAACACAGCTGAGGTGCAGAGCCCACAGGATAGAGAGAGCAGAGGAGAGAAAGACGGAGGAGAGGCAGCGGCTGCCGAGCGGCCCTGACAGACAGTGACCATTTCTGGTCTACTAATCACTGGGTGTTTTAGACAATCTGTGAAAGCACTTTTTAGGCCCTTTCTTTTTTATGGTCTTGGGTGCCATAAAGTGTGCATGTGGTTTTTGTTTTTCTCAACAGGCAGGTGTAGAAATCAGTGATCTCTGCTGGTACAGATCTATGACTAGTGGAGTCCACACAGGTGTTCTTCCTGCAGTTGTCAACACAGAGACACACACACTTAAGACATGCACACATAATCTGTCATCACTTTTCTGTGCGTGAGTTTAATGGTGCTGTGGGAGTGAGTCAGCTGTGGTGAAATCAGACCAGGAAAAAAAACTAAAACTATATGTCACTTCCAAATTCTTAGACGTATTACACAGCTATGAACTCATCCAACTCTTGTCTAACAAATTACTTAAACTCTGACATATACTGGTGGCTAATTCTTAAAAAATCTGCATTGTTTAACCAAGCACTGTTCAAAACCACAAAATGTAAACTCCAGTGTTACTGAATGTGTTATTAATTTCAAAAATTCCAAATATCTAGAATTTGCATTGTTCTATTTAAATCTCTCTGTGAATGGAGCCTTGAAAAGATCATCCACATGTGTTTTTCTTTAGGTGGTCATGACTGAAGATGAAGAAGGAGGGAAAGCTCAGATTAAAAGAAACCAGTGTTGACAGTTAGTAGCCACAGTCTCTGGTTATAAAGTTATTTTTATACCCCATCTCACTGCACATTACCTACACTTTTGTTACTAAAAATGAAAAAATAAGTTTCAAAGTTGAACTAATCAAGTAATTTATATCAACAATGTATCTTGTGAATATGTGTTGTTCTTTGTGAAAACTCCACAGTCCTGTCAGCTCTTTTAGTCTCATTGTTCTGGTTTTACAGCCAGCAACATTCAGCAAGTCCACCAAACCTATATTACCCAT